ATTAATTTGTCCTCTTATGAATAGTGCTTTCTTTGTCAAGCATCTAAGATCTCTGACTAGACTTAGATTCTGGATATTTTCTTCTTTTTCCCCCCAGAAGTTTTATAGTTGTACATTTTACATTCAAGTCCATGATCCATTTTGAGTTAAATTTGCATAATATGTGAGATTTAAATTGAGGTTCCTTTTTGTGTGTGTCTTGTGGAGGTTCATTTTTTTTTGTCTATGGGTGTTCAACTGATCCAACATCATTTGTTGAAGGCTATATCTCTTTGACTGAATTCCCCTCCCCACCTCTTTCCATTTTTAAGATCACCATAGGTGAAAAGAAAGTGTAAATATTTGTGATACATTTTCTTTTTTGATTCAAGAAAAGGAATGAGTGAATTAATATCAAATAGATTTGGAATTTCAGTGAATTTATACGACAAAGCTATCAGGGAAAGCAGGTAGCAGCAGAATCCCGGAGAAGAAGGGTGGGTGATTTAACAGAGTTATGAGAAATTGCAGAAAACAGCAGCTGACCAGATTGGCATATAAAATAATGCTGAGCAGTGCTGAGGACCTAGCAAGAGCTGGAGACTGACAGTTTATCCTGGGATGAAACTGAATAGCTGGGGGATTTTGCATAGCAGGGGAATGATGAAACTCATTTAATGTTGTGTGTATTGGGGTGGGTGTGTGGAGCCCAATACTTTCTGTCAAGAGAGAAAGAGATTATTTGGGGGCAGGAATGCATGAAGGAGGTGTGGGATTTTTTATTCGTACCTTGAAATGTAGGCTGAAATCTGCTGGGAGGAGAAGGAATAAGAAGAAAAAGAATGCCAAAGGAAACATAATTAGATATGGGAACAGATAAGTCTTATTGGGAGAAGTAGTAAACCAATTTGGCTGAGCCTAAGGGTTACTGTGAGCCCCTAATGGAGGGGGATGTTGAAAGGGTGCATCTGATAAAGACTGAGTGAAGCACAAATTCTTTAGCTTTGAATTTCTTCTAGGCAATGAGCATGTGTTGAAGGTTATTGTGCAGGAGAGTGACTGAAGAAGATTAATCTGGTGGCAATTTGCTATAAGAATGGGGCTCAGAGGGAGGGATGGAGAGGGAGAGATTTAGGAGACTGGCAAAGGAACCCAAAGGTCAGTGAACCATAAGAAAGGAAAGGAAGGGGCTAAGACAAAGGACAGAAAGTCACTCCTCTGTGCCAAGGCACATGTCAAACTATAGACCTTTCACTCCTGTTGGTGAATATTGACTTAATATTATGTCATATATAATATATTATGACTTAATATTGATGTTTTCTTCCTTCTTTCTTCCCTTTTTTCCCCTTCCTTTTTCCTATTTTCTCCTCTCCCTTTCCCCTCCTCATCTTTTTTCTTTCCTTCCTTCTCTCTCCTCTTTGTTCCTCCTTTCTTCCTCTCTCCCTCTGTTCTTTCCTTCCTTCCCTCTCATCCTTCTCACCCTCCCTCCCTCTATCCTTCTTTTCTTTCCTTCCTTCTTCTTTCTGTCTTTAGTAATTTATTCAACTCATACTTATAAGTATCTGCTATTTACACACTGGACATTGTACAGGGCTTTGAGAATTCAGAGAAGGGAATTCTATTCTCCAAGGAAAAGCAGACAACTATGGGAACCCAAGAAGGACTCAGCAAGCAACTAAGTATAACTGTATGACAGATTTCAGGGGTGCAGAGTCCTACTAATCTATTAAGGCAGAGAAGGTGATGCTTCAATTCATCCTGGAAAAATGACAAGGAAGTCATCAGCAGAGCAAGTAGAAGAGGAAGCAGGGGTGCTGTGGGAAGAGGGCCTGGAATCTCAGGAGCTGTTTTTTTTGTTTGTTTGTTTGTTTGGGGAACTGTCAGAGCGTGTGCCTGTGAAGGAGGGTCTGTGAGGTTGGAGGAACTTGCAGGGCTGTGTGTGAAATATTTAAAAGTTTAGGTTTTATTCCAAACATCTTAGAGGTTACTGAAGGATTTTACATAGAAGAATGATATTAAATTCTTCCTGATCTGCAAAACTGAGGATTTACAGTCTTAGGCTCTGGAGTCAGACTGAGTACAGGGCATGACTCATCATTCAACTATTTGATGGCTGTGTGACATTAAGCAAGCCACCTGACCTCTTCAAGCCTTTCTTTTCTAAAATAAAATGAAAACTACTACCTTCCTCATAGTTTTCTTTTTTATTTAAAGTTTCGTGAGAATTAAATGATGTGTCAATTGTCACATTCTTAGCAGAGTGCCTGGTACATAGAAAGTCCTCTGAAACTGACAGCTTCTCTTAATTAGTGCTTGCGTCACCTCTGTCACTGCTACTATCATAACCATCTCTCTATAAGCTGTTACAAACACCACTTATCTTGGTATGCAAGATGAGCTGGAGATAGGAATGAGCTGAAGGAAGGGAGACCAATTAGGAGGCCTCTGGAATAGTCTAGGGATAAATACTCTTTTTTCTGTTTAGTGCCCAACTGTCATTCAGATGGAGCTTAAAAAAAAATCCAAAAAGTTTGTGGAGTCAATGTAAAGGAAGACTGAGCAGAATTTAGTGATTGATTAGCTGGACGAAACCAAAGAGCCAGTAAAAGATGATGGCGAGCCTTCAAGCTTGGGTGACTGGAGGATCCTAGTACTCTTCGCAGGAGGAAGCCCCTTCCCACCCTGTACTCTGCTTCTTGGGCCATCATTGGATGGTTGACTGCTTCTTCACTTTCATTCACTTGCTCTGTGACTCTGCCGTGCAAGCTGCTGCTTTGTCTTTTTTACAGAATGCCTTGTCATAACTATAGTGAAGTCATATTTGAATTTGGAATCTTCAAATTTTGAAGTCTCAGGCCCCACTTACAAATTGGGTTTGACACATCTCACTGGTTGTTTCCAAATCTGCTTTCATTTCTAGATCATGTAGACTTCAGCATCTGCAACTTTGTTTAGGGGCATTAACAGGATCCTCTACTTGCAGGGTACATATTGCTTTTGGAACAAAATAATTTAATGTTTTGTCAGTATTACATAATTATTATTTTTCTCTTCTGTATAAAATATGGAATTATAAATGCCTTCTATTTTAAGTTCCATGTCATAAAAAAATCAAATCAAAACAAAGCAATACAATAAAAACCTAGCTCAGCTTTTAGCTTTTCTATTCCTGAAAATTTTTACTTCTACTCTGACAAGGGGGACAAGTGGAGAAACCTGGGAGCATGACAAGATTTTGTTCTAACCAAATGATCTGTCCCTTGTACCTAGTTTTAGAGCAATGTAGCTGTGGCCATGATTCTTTGGTTTTCTTTTTTCCTTCTTTCTTTTTTAACTTTCATTATTCTAATTGCTAAAACTGCCTTGCAATTCGAGAAAGAACAAGAGTTTTGAGATTGTGTTAGGGCTAGGTTAGCCAGGTTCCAGACTCTGAAAGCTCTTATCTTGTTTTTAAGAGAGAAACTTTGTTTTGCTGCTGGGATTTGAATCTAGGGCCTTGTGATTGTTAAGCACGTGCTCTACCATTGAGCAATACCTCCAGCTCCTAAGAGAGAAAATTTTAAATAAATATCTTATACAGGAACAAGTGGCATATCACGAACAATTTGTAATGCTCTCTGCTGGTTGATCTGCCCAAAGTCCTGTCCAGTTGTTCTTGAGATTCAGGAAACACATTTGTGAGAAAGCTGCCCTAAACTAGGGGAAATAGATCAAAACCCATGGCCTGCCTGGAATGATTGTCTTGTTCTCAGCCTCTTCAGTCCCTGAACTCTGCCACCACCCCTGCCAAGTTAGAAAGAACCAGTATAGAGCTGGGGGTCAAAGTTTAACAGAAAGATTCTTCATGGTGGTTTACAAAGAGCCCTTCCACTTGTTTTTCTCTACTGGTCACCTAATGTGTGTGTGTATGTATGTGTGGATGTGTGTGTGTGTGTGTGTGTGTGTTTCAGAAATAGTATGTGAAGGATGGGAAATCAAATGTCTCTGTGGGAAAAAACAGTGTTTCAGGTTCTCAGAGTTTTAGTCATCTGCTCTCTTACTTTTCCAGACTGTGAATATACTTTAAGGCCATTAAAATCTATTCCTGGTCGTTAAAAAAAAAAAAAAAGTAGGGACTCAATGGTTCCTTCTCAATTGCCCTATGTCTGGCAACAAATATCTGAACACTCTGATTTGCCTTTTTTATTTCCCCTAGTGGTTGCAAAACAATTCTACTCATATTTGTGGTGGAAAAAAAAAATCCTCTGCCCTGATTTCTGTGCTGGGAATATAGCAAAACACAGGCTACCTGTGCTAGCCTGTTTCTCCAGGATAAAATGAAAGGAATTTGGCTCCCTGGTAAGGGGGCTGGCCTATCCTGGGTGTGTGAGAAGGGAGGGGTAACTGGGAGGGGAATCCCATTTAGATCACAGAAGAAACCAGGAAGTAAGGAGAAATTATTACAGTCTGTACATAGCTCAGGATGTTAAAGGCAATAGTTTCTGTCTGTTGGTTATTCATTAGCAAAACAGAAAAGAAAAGTCAGGATCAGGACGGGTGGAACCACAGGAGCACGCTTGAAGCCTGGAGAGGGCTGTGGCACAGGTGAGACATGGAGATTTTACCTGGAAATAGTATCTTTCTCTTGCTAACTTTTTTCTTTAGACAAAGGGCAAGGTGGCTCTTTCTGCTCTCAGATATTTATTTAAAGTCCTTTTAATTTACTTTTATTTTGTTGTGGGATTCTTGAGCAGACAGGAAGAAGAGGCATTTTCCTCCTGAACAACTGCCCAGTTCCCACTTGATTTTGCTCTGGGGCAGCAGCTACAGCTGAAGAAAACCAGGAGGTGAATCCCAGGCAGGGATTGCTGCAACCAGATCTGCGGGGACCGCTCTGAAACAGGACTTAGCACACTCTCCAAAGTATGGTGAGTTGGAGCTGATTTCAAAGTTACCTGGAGAAGAAGAGAAGAGAAAGTGGATCTGTGGAGACGACGGGGAGAGGGAAGGCCCTCTCCCCCTCTCCTAACCAGGGCACCATGGGCAATATCTGTTTGAGGCTCTGGGCATACTTGGAACCCTGTCTCCCCTGCATGTCCCAGGAGGCAGACAAGTCGGTGGTAATTGAGAATCCAGGGGCCCACTCTCCCCCTGAAGCTCCTCAGACTGCGAAACATGAACCCAAGAGAAGCCAGAGGCACTACTTTGTGGCTCTGTTTGATTATCAAGCTCGGACAGCAGAGGACCTCAGCTTCCGTGCAGGTGACAAACTCCAAGTCCTGGACACTTCCCATGAGGGCTGGTGGCTGGCCAGACACTTGGAGAAAAGGGCAGATGGCTCCGGCCAGCAACTGCAGGGCTATATTCCTTCTAACTACGTGGCCGAAGACAGGAGCCTACAAGCAGAGCCGTGAGTAGTACAGACCTACACTTTATTTGTTAACTCTCTGAGGGCTGGGTACTGAGTTTTCCTTCCTACCTATCTTCAACCTCCTATTCTCCAGAGTTGCATAGAGAGTTTATGGAAGTGTTGGTAAAAAACCATTAGTTGAAACATACCTTTTTTGAAAAGTCAGTGTGAAACTTGCAGGTAATTGTTGCTGAAATGACTTTGATTATAGTATGTATACCCATGGGCCAGGTGCACTTCCATCAACAGAAACAGGAAATAATCCAGCGGTCACTTTAAAAACAGAAATATATTTCATTTGCAGGTAAACCATAGACTCTCTTAAACCATCCTTTAAAATCTAAAGTTCAGCTCTCTTTTGTTTTTGTTTTGACTTTTGAAGCATATATCAAGTCCTAACATGATTCTTTTTAAAAAAAAAAAATTTATTTGTTCTTTTAAGTTATACATGACATCCTAATATGAATTCTAATCCTTTTCATTCTTAGTAGTCACACACATAGGTTAATCAACATAGATGGTGACTTTTATACAATTCTATTTTTTTCCCACTAAAATCATGACAGAGACATTTTTTCTTTGAATTCCCAGATTCTGAAGTATGTGACTCAAATTATGATATCTTTTGGTTATGATGATTAAACATTGGCCAGGTACAGAGAGTTACTAAAGTTTAACAAGAAAAATAAAGAGAACATTTCTCTGAAAGAGTAGATAAAGATTTGATCCTGAAAAAAAAATAAAAAGACTTTATATCTTGGTATTTGAATAAGTCCTATGAATTATAGTGCAACAAAGGAGCAAAATTTTATGTACTTGGTCATTCCATGCTTCCATTCATCCATCCATCTATCCAACCACCAGGAGGAACAGTAGTAGATATGATGAGTGGGGAAGAGAGCTACTGCTGATAGTTGAATATACAACTATCAGCTGATAGTTGGATAAACTGCAGTCTTGATAATGGATACATGGGGTCTGGTGAATTGGGAGCAAGTGGAGACTGTTGTGGGTCCCAGTCTTATTGCTGCCTGGTTTCAATGAAATTCAAGACTGAGAATGTCTCTCATGAAATGTACTCATTTTATAGAATGATTCTTTAATGAAAGAGTCTTGGGGATTCACTCATGATCTCATATAAGTATTTTTTCTTTTTATGTGGTTTGCAACATCTCTTACTGTCCCAGGGAATAAGATGATAGGCCAGGAAACATTATTGTTAGTTTCCAAATTCATGTATCCTAATATGAAAGGTGGTTTGATGATTTTTGAGAGTCTTTTCAACATCAAGAGCTTATAAAAGGTTTTAATTTATACCTAAATAGAAATGAATTGAATTTGTACTTTTGATGAATGGAATTGAGTTCTTAAATGAGAAAATCACCTGTGTGAACATTTATTTTCTATAATGATCTACAAGAAATATATTTTCTTATTCGTGGAATGTTTACTTATATGTTTTTATTATCACATGATTTCTGTGTAATAAATGGCTGTATGTATATTTTATATTTGGTGTAACATATTAGAAAAATACCATAATGTTAATATTTAGTGCCTTGAATTCATAATCTACTAGGTTTAAATAAATTAAATATTCAGTTCATTTAACTGTGTAATGCCTCCATCTCCTCATCTATAAAGTCTCTAGACTTGCCTCGATTTCTGAATTTGCTGATTATTTGGGAACTCAAACTCTTTTATTTTGTTTTATATATATATATATATATATATATATATATATTTTTTTTTTTTTTTGGTACTGGGGATTGAACCCATGGGTGCTCTACCACTGTGCTACATCCCAGCCCTTTTTATTTTATCTTGAGACAAAGTCTTGCTAAATTGCTCAAGTTGGCCTTGAACTTGTGATCCTTCTACCTCACAAGTTGAAATTACAGGTGTGGGCCACCACATCTGTCTTGGAAACACAACTCTTATTCTATCAAGCATTCATTCTTAATGCTGAAGAAAGCAGGCTGACAGACTCAAGATAAGCAATCCAAAGGTGATCATGCACTGGGTAAAAGGCATGAGTAGTGTCCTTATTAATTTAGATGGTCTTTGCCTACAAGCCAAAATAAAGCAGCTAAAGTATTGTGGCTATTTTTTGATTCTCAGGGGCCATCTGTAACCAAGAATACTCTTTTTCCCTCTGTACATAACTCCTGACCTTTCGACTTGAAATCGGTTCTCAGCAGTGTTTCCATCTGTCACTGCCAACTCAGATCTCTGCAGTGAGCCTCCTTGGAATCACTATACCTACTGGAATAAGATCCAGAAAATGCTACCATTCTGCTTCCAGCCCAGGAAAGCCCACTTCTTTCCTTCTAAGTGCACACAGAGACCTCACCTTTGAACCCAGATTACTTCTGGAGGTCTTTGCCACCATATGGCTAAATTTCTTTAATACTTTTGGGGCAAGTAGCTGCAGCCTCTTGAATTCCACTCCATTTCAAAGAGAAGTGGTGTGTGTGTGTGTGTGTGTGTGTGTGTATTGGGGGAATTCTTGGGATTGAACCCAAGGCCTACGCATGCTCTCTACCACAGAGCCACATACCCAGTCCCTCAAAGAGAAGTGATTTTAACTTAGCAGTCATCAGAAGGAGTGTCTCAAGAGGCCTGCCCAGTGCTGTACTATGGAAGGAATCATACAAAAATAACTTATTTTAATATCTTTAGTGTGTTTTTTTTCAAACTATAATTCATTTTTCCTTATGAACACTGTGGAAGTTCATGTGGTTTATTGAGTTCAGTAAATATTACTAAGGGAAGATTATTGTTTATATTCATACATGTGAGATGGGTAGGTAATGGGAAGCCAATGAAAGTTGAATCATCTAATTTCTAATTAGAACAGTGTAATGCAGTGTATATTAGTGTTCATATATTTATGTCTTTTTGTTCTGATACTGGCTACTGAACCCAGGGATGCTACATTCCCAGCCTTTTTTATTCTTTATTTTGAGACAGGGTCTTGATAAGTTGCTGAGCCTGGCCTCAAATTTGTGATCTCCTGCCTGTGTTCGCCACCCTGCCCAACTGTTTATATCTTTATTCTTGACTTGCATAAGTAAGAAATTTAGTGCAAGTACTTCACGAGTTATTAGTGCCAGGGTAAATCAGTTTGGTTTGTCAAATTCTTTTCTTTTTTAGTACTTGAAAGTAGAGATGTTGACAAAAGAGCTAGTCTATTGATAAAAGAAACCAATTTACTAATTGATGATTATTCCTCTTAGAAAGGCTGTAACTTTTCTGAGTATCTTACATTAAGTGATATAAAAGCTCAATTCTTAAATAATTTTGTCTCTGTAAAGAACCATTACTGCATTTATCTTATCTTCAATTTGAACTTATTCATACAACTTTTTATAGATTTTTTCCCCCTACATCTTCAAAATGAAATCCCTCATGAACATTACTCTCAGCGTCTTTTTACTCAGAGCTTTCTCTCTTTTTAAAAATATTTATTTTTTTAGTTGTAGTTGGATACAATACCTTTATTTTATTTATTTATTTTTATGTGGTGCTGAGGATTGAACCCATGGCCTTGCACATGCTAGGCAAACATTCTACCACTGAGCCACAACCCCAGCCCCACAGAGCTCTCTTTAAATATAATATTATTATATTTAATAATATATAGTGTTTTTCAAGATATAAAGTTAACCCAGAAAATAATGAAATGGAAATTACATATGAATCTTGAAGTCAAGAAAAATGGCTTCACGTTTTGCTAATTTTAATGTAAGAAATTCAAGCATTGCAATATATTGATGAAAAATAAAATGATCAGCAATAATGTAGCACCATTTATCTATAACTAGTTTAAAAAGTTGTTTGCCCACTTTCTTAGTGTCATGATGGGCAAAAGGTGTGACTTATGCATTCGAGGGGGAGAAATAAAGAATGTCCACATGTTTCTGCCCTTTTCAATACTTTATTCACTCAAATCACTCAATATAATTTCACTCTATAGGTTATTAAGGTTCTTAATCAAGAAAATGACAAGCCTTAATGCTAGACACTACAATAGACACAATCAATTCACAGCAAACAATTCTAGATTAATTCTAAGCACTGCAGACACACTTAATTATGACAGGCTCATGACAGACATTCCCTCTGCATGCTAAGCTCAAGTGTCAGATCAAAAGTCTCAAGCCTTAGGATCTAAGTCCAGCAGATGCACACTCACTCAGACTGTGGTGATTAGATCAGGGACCAAGGCAGACTTCTCCTGGGTTAGAGCTGACAGCTGGCTGAGGAGGTGGTCATAGGGAGAAGTCCTTTTCTCACCAGAGTCAAGAGGCTGCTGCAGAGTTTGAGAGTGGTGAGAACAATGCAGAGGATCAGGCAGATGATACGAATTGGGATGTCAGTCTAGGTCCTCCTCAGGTGCTCAGGCTTGTGTGCATCAGTGTCGGTTGGCTGAAAGTCTGTTCATTTGTTCCATCATTTATACTAAATTTTGGGGCTTCTGACCACCCTTTCAATCCCTATCAGCTGCTGTGGGATTTCTAAGTGATGTCATTCGCCCTGTGATTAAAGCATCTGGTCTGGTGGTCCCCACCCTGATTTTCTTGTTTCTTGCTTTTATCAGAGTTAGGGCAACATATCATTGACTTCACTCTGAGTTTATCAGGGTGGGGATTAGTGACTTGTTTGTGCTTGAGGGCCATACTGGAAGGCTCCTTAGGCATGCCTGGTTAGACTTCAGGTTTCACACTGGAGTTTTTAAATGAAGTTGCTTAGGCTAAGGCCTAAGGCCATCTTTACATTTAGTTGTGCCTTAGCTGTTGTCTGTGTCTGAACTAGGGTCAGAGATGAGGTCCCTTAGTCTCCTGGAGAGAGGACTGGTGGGAGGGGAGTGTGGAGAGAAGCACAAAAAACAGCAGCTGATGGTTTTTGCTTCACCCACTTGACCACATAGGCCAAGGGGTAGCAGTTAGCATAAACAATTTGAATTTCCTTTGCGTGTGATTCTTGTTACGGTAACA